CTGGCTGACAAGGAGCTGTAGTAACAGTGGCATGGATGAATTTTGACTTAAAACAGATTTTGAACAAAAGGGATAGTGACCACGCAATGTCAAGGTGGTAAAACAGAGCTACCAGATACAGTGAACCTTCATCGCCCGGAAGACGCGTTTACTGACAGTGACGTCTACATGAAGACAAAATAATATTTACTGTTCAAAAAAAGAAATCTGTTGCGATAATGTTGTATTTTCAAACATGAATAACTCGTCCACAAATAGAATTTAGTACATGAATTCTTACATCAGTTTAAAAGAAAGAAATGTCTATACATCCAAGTGGATAACGGAGACGTTTAGCGCCATGGTGACGACGTAGCACGGGCCCGACGTCGGGTCTCCTGGCTCTCAATCCAATCTCTCTCAACCTGTCACCTACAGTTAATAATAATAATAATAATAATAATAATAATAATAATAAGTCATCTTCTATAGTGCACAGTCTCCAAACACCAAGTGTTTGCTCGCGGCGCTTAATCAGAATTAGATTCTTATTACCCCGGATAACTCATGCTGCCTGTTAGGCGCTAGAAGGTTATAGTCACATGACTTTATCCAACCGGGTACCCATTTTCTGCTGGGTGAACTGAGGCAATTTTTGAACAAACTCACTTGCCTAAGGTGAGATCACATGTATCACATGTGCTTCGTTATGGGGCAGGACTGAAGCCCTAGGAACTCTCAGGAGTCAAGCTGCCAAACACGGTCACCCATCCAAGGACTCTCCGAGCTCGACGTTGCTTAACTTCACTGATTCGTGACCTGAGCTCTGTGCACAGGACCACACGCCATCACTGCATGAGACTGCGTATCCTCCTAAGTCCAGGCACCGTGGCTGCTGTGCTCTCACCCATGGCAGTACGATCACGCAAATGTAGTACCCGAATGTATCGATCTTGGGGCTGCAGTGGTAACTCGAGGACTACCTGAACGGGGACGGTCATTTGTTATACCTGTTTGCTTGTAACGAGCTGATAGCGTGATATCATGCTCAGATTAACATTCAGACGCCCGGTAACAGAAGATTGGTAATCTCCAGCGTGAATTCTTTCAATGGCAATGTTCCGTGTTGCAGCGTCAAGACGTGGCATAGTGATTTGACCTTGAAACTCCTTCAAAACGAATGACGATTTCCGAAAGTAATCTGGATTTTTATAGCCAGACAGTGCATGCTATTTGCTGCACAATTTCAACTGCTTTGTGGCGATGCCTTTTTAATCTCATCAAAATCATTTTTCAAGTAAAGTCTTCTTTCTTTTTTAAAGTACATTACAACACATCTACAAGTATTTTATCCAGAAATGCTTTGGACAGGACGATTTCATAGGAAGCGGTAACATGGTGTTAGATATACAAAATGTATATAAACTGTTGCCAGTTTTGCCTAAATGTGATGGAACACCAAATGTAGGCTTGTAACATTCACTGTATGGTGTACCACCCTCTCCATGGTGCACGAATTGCACAGTTACTGTGTGGTTTAAACAATCAGTTTATGAAAACATCATTCAAAGAGATCCAAGTTAAGGGGCGGTGGGGTCTACTGGTTTGCTGAATTCCCCAAACAATTGTTAAGCCCATTTCTGGTGTCCCCGCCGTGAAAATATTACTAAAAGCGGCGTAAAACCAAACTCACTCACTCAGAAATTTAAGACTGAATCTAATTTTTGCTGAATTAAAAAATTGTGGAAGATATGACTGCATGAAAAAGAATTCTTCCATAAATTTCTGCAGGAAATAATAAGTCTGCCAGAATGTTCTGCACAAAACAATTTCTGCCGAAATGCATTTTCAGGGCCAATTTGTGAGCTTATGAACACATGAACACACTTGTACATTATATTTTTGGATTTATCTCCTCGAGTACTTTCAAATGATATAAATGATGTCCTTGTTGCTTGTTTCCTTCTCTGTGTCAAGTGAGGACTCGCTGCCCATTCCTAAGTTGTCCTGCCCGGCCTTATTTCCAACAAATTTAAATCAATTTGTTAAACCTGGCAGAATATAGAAGCATTATTTGAACCTTGAATAAGCTTTTAAGTTCGTTTTGCTTTTGGATGTAATATAGTTAACTTACAATATAATCCTCCAATTTACTTTGGATCTCATTATATGTCAAAGTTGGGACCTTTAACTATCTATGAATCCGTTCCAATACAGATTGTCGTTTATATCCTATTGGTCCTATTTGCGCAATGTGTTATCGTACTCCATAATGACACGCCGAAGTAGCAGGGATGCGTCTTCTTTCCTGACTTATCCGTTGTCTCGTAGTGTACCGTGTAGTTCCCTGCTGGATAAGCTCTTCCGGCTTGCCGGTTCGATGTCAAGGTCACGTTCAGGAAGTCACCGTTTGGAGAATCTGCGGCCATGACCTCTGGCCACGTGATGTTGATGCTTGTTTGGTTTCAGGATATGAGTCTGGCTAGAGCGGCAGTTGATGAAGACCGGAGGCGATGTGTCTGGAACGGAAAACCGGTGAAGTTAATGCATGTTCTTCTTGGCTTCATTCAGCGATCTTCCAGTCCCTTCAGTCTCGATATGGTCCATCTTTTGTCAGGTAAGTCAGGGGTGACAGCAAGGCAGGAGTGGTAGGGAGCCACATGTTGGTGTTAACAGTAACGGGATATCATTATATCATGACACAACATGAGGAATGTCAAGCAATTATACATTCACTATTGAATAATAAAAGAATACCCAGTCGTGACTACACTTAGAAACAAGTCTGTAGAACTAACGGTCAAGCTGCTACCTTCACAACTGTTCATTTAGGGGTTCTTGAGAGGCATATAGAAGTTGGTATTCAAGTACAAGACAAAATATTATGGATGTCAACTTCTTCTTTATTGTATACACAACGTTTCTGTGCTATTACTTGCCCCTTCGCCCTTTCTGAACACATTGTGAACAATCAATCACACTCCATTGACTGGCAAGCAACAACCATCATAGCATCGAACATCCATGATTGGTGAAGACGCAAGATTTCGGAGTCTATCAGCATCGAAAGATTAGCGCCACAAATGAATAGGGATCAAGCAGTTTACCTACCCAATGCCTGGGAAATCAATTAGGTTGTGGCTTCACCAATCACCTCTTAATCAACTGTAACAGCCTCAACCCTGCCTTTTGTATCTTATCCCAGGTTATGTATATCATTACACTATCAGCCAACCTTTTGTATCTTATCCCAGCTTATGTATATCATTACACTATCAGCCACCCTTTTATATCTTATCCCAGCTTTTGTATATCATTACACTATCACTTTTTGTACACCAATTGAACTCATTGGCTTCCTATCACTTACCCACTTAATCCACTGTAACAACACCATATCTGCTTTTGTATATTTTATTCTCTTTCATCTTATAATCCCCTATTTATTGTATATACATGCTTAAAATCACTCTGGTTTCATGTACATTACTAGTATATACATCCTGTATATCTGTTAGTTAGCATTCACCTGACGAAGGGGCAAGAAATAGCCCAGAAACGTTGTGAATATACAATAAAGAAGAAGTTGACATCCATAATATTTTGTCTTATAACTGTTCATTTGTTCATCATTTTCTGAAAAGTCATTTCCTTTTATATTGAATGGGCCAGCAGGTAAGCTGATTCAAGATTTGTGATAATGAGTCTAAGGTGTTTCTGAAGGATTATTATAGATGTCTTTCTACAAGGTTTTTTATAACTGAAATTATCTTATGCAGGACGCGTTCTTCAGATTGTGAGTTTATAGTAGAAAGAAGAGACAGAGGACATAACAATAGAAAGCTCAGTGAAAGTGTTGACAAGTTTTTAATAAACAGAGTTAATTTCTGTTTGACACTTAAATGATGATGTACGCATGTTTCATGAACCGTCGAGCGTTGCAAAGTGTGGACATTGGGTATTATCTTACCTCACACATAAATGTCGCTTTCTGATTGGCTGAGCGCTCTTCTATTATTTTCAATGTATCCCGCTTTCAAGCGAGTAACATTTCAAAGTACTTCACTGTCAATGTCAACTCATTTGGTACTTCGTAGTAGTAATTCTTTATCTCGAATAACATTGAATCACGTATGATGTACGGAAATTACCGATGTTTTGCGAATGCAAATCGATCGAAGGGAGATAACTCTAAATCTGTTTTTCTTGTCAGCAAAATCTAGCAATGGCTACAAAAACATGTGTACCCGTGCTTCAAACAATTCAAAATTAACATTAAGGTGTTCAGTAAAATAAATACGTTGTTCACTGGTCCCTCGGGGCCATGGGTTGATGTACCCTCGGGCCCAGGGAACATAAACAAACATCAAGGGTACACTTGTAAAGTGGTACAGAAGCTTCGCATGCTTCACATGGTTTACTACCTCCGTGGGGGACAGGGTTCAAGGTCGTTTGATTAATAATGCTCAACACACTGTTCCGATACGTTTTCGGGCTCAGGGATCATAAGCAAACATCGAGGGTACATCAGCCCATGTCCCCCTCGAGACCAGTGAACAATGTTTCATGGGGTGAATAGAATTAGACCAATATGACTTTACAGATTTTGGCCGTTCCTATGGTAAGTCCAGTGGCTGTGAAAACGTATTGGAACATCCAACGTTTACTGCAGAACATCAATGTTTCTGTCATTTGTCTTTCAGGCATGTGTTGAGCATTATTAATCAAACGGCCTTGAACCCTGTCCCCCACAGACGCCGGGAGGTAACCATGTGAAGCTTGTCCTTGTGCACAAACAGCTTCTGACAAGCACTTCAAATAAGACAGTATTCACTCATTTATCTGAGCTATCGCATTGTGCCGATATATCTTTACTTGAAGCTCCGCCAAGCTGCAATGTTCGCACGTAACTAGGGACAGATAACTCTACTGGCAAACAAGGGTAAGTTGGATCGGCGCAGAGAACGCGTTTACGAGAAGTAGGCGGTGCACGGCAATGAGCAAACCCATTTGGTTTGTGAGAAGGTAGAGCAGATGTAGGCTAGTGCACGTGTATTGCATGACGATGAAATTGATTCCTGCCACTGTCGAACTCAGCGTTTTCTGAGACAGGCCACGTGCTTCACCCATCGCACTACACTTGATCGCGGACAACCTGGGTCCCTTTGCTCACAATGGCAAGCGTCAGTGGGCGGCACTCATACATGCTAATATGGGTCAATTGTCAGGTCGGCGCTCAACTTATCCTTGTTTGCCAGTAAGCAGTCTCAGTGGGCAATTTTACTAGCACGCTAACATGTCAATCATTTACTGCCATTGAAAATCAGTAGAATTATGTTTACAACAATTAACTCCCACAGAACACAAAATGCAGAGATATACCGATATTGTCTGACGTATTATTCACTACCAATATGTTAAAACAATTAACACTCACAGAACACTACATGCAGAGATATACCGATATTGTCTGACGTATTGTTCACTACCAATATGTTTACAACAATTAACTGTCACACAACACAATATACAGGGCTATACTGATATTGTCTGACATATTATTCACAAACTAATACAACAATTAACAATTGTTTACAACAATTAACTGTCAGATAACACAATATGCATAAATATACTGATATTGTCATACGTATTGTTCACTACAATTAACTGTCACATAATACAACAAGCAGGGATATACTGATATTGTCTGAACTATTCTTGTTCACTCTTCATTAAAACGAAAAGCATAGGAGAAAATGCGAATGCTGATTTTGTTCATTCATGAAATATTCAAAACATATTCAGAAATCCTGATCCTTGAGCGATGTTAATCACTCATTCGTTAACTGGTGTAGTTCACAAACTCAACCGTTTCAAAATTTGGTAGCTTTATAAACGAGCGAACACTTTAACTATTAAACTATCTCAAGGTTCTGGAAAGCAGAAGATTATAGGAAGATCGTTAACCACAAGGCTACCTCCTGGTTCTATAGAGAAGAAGATCTTACTATGCCCTTATAAAAATAGTAGCTAGGTCTAATGTCTGACTAGCAGACACTTTAACCGCAAGGCTACCTGTTGTTTCTGTAAAGAAAAAGATATCATTATACCCTTATGAAAATAGTAGCTAGGTCCACTGTCTGACTGACAAACACTTTAGCCACTGGTCTACCAGTGAGTCTGTGTGAACATTACACAAGCCGTACAAAGAGTGACGATGAGAAATATGATAGTCAGAGCGCGTTCGAGAACGATGGCCAGCTGTTTCCACTCATATGTAGCCTCGTCAAGGCTGTCTTGTGTTGTGATCCTCCTCTTGTGTAGATCCATGGCCTTCTCTACTGTGTTGAGCAGTCGGTTGAGAACATCCACCACGTTATTCCCTCCACCGGGCTGACCCTCTGTCATGGTGGATGCTGGTTTGTCTGCATCCATAGCCTCGTCATGAGCAGAAATTAGGATCTGTGTGTGAAACTTATGAATTATATACCGAGAAAAAATACATAGAGATTAATACACGAGCGAGTGTGGCATATTGTTTTTACGAAACGAGTGTCAGAAAAAATCATTTTTCCCGAGCGAGAGTGAGTGTGTTAATTTCTTTATTATCAATTTGTATCGAACTTTTCATTTCTGAACAACAAAGTCCACGTAAAACGAAATCAGCTGCTGTCGCTTGACATAAAGGTGAAGGTCGCGTTTGAATACAGTGATACGGCACTGTGGACGTAAACTCCCTGTGTACTGCTCCTAAGTAAAGAGCGCCATATTTTGAATAGCTTTTCTTGCACAAAGACCAAAAATACAAACAGATTTTGACTTGAAATTCAATCTTTATCAACTTAAGTAACTGTAAGAATTGTAGAACTGGAAACATTGTTAATGGGAAAGTTATTCATCGTCAGAAGAGTCACTGAGAGGACAGCGGGCAACATGGCGACGTTTTGTGACGGGCTTGGTCTCACTCACTGCCATAGAGGAATTGCCAATATTGATATGGAATGTCCCTCTGTATATTGGACCTCCTAAGATAGTGTGAACAACAGCACTAGACAAGGCTTTGTTTGTGTTTGTGTACGACATGCTTTGGGATGTAGATTTGGTTTAGACAACTTCAGACGACGGAACGAGTGAAGACGCGCGAAGCGAGCATGAAAGCATGGCAGGCTGATTTCCGGTCAGATTGCCCACTTCCTGTGTTGTGCATCAGAACGGCGTAAATCATTGTTCAAACTCTGTACATTTTTATGTCCAGACACTTGCATGATATGCGTGGGAGCTACATTATTGTCCTGCAACTTTTGAATCAAATGTTTGCGGGCACTGTGATTAGTTAGCCGTTTGTCGCCATTTCTTGGATCGGACCCTTCCGTGTCTTCGTTTGCCTCTCGCACATCTCAAGATATTCCCTTCCATCAGTGTCGGTCTTAAGTGAAATGTCACCTCAGCATAAATTGCGGTGGGGTGTACAAGACCGCATCCTGAAGTAGATTTGTGTTTTGCCACCACAGCATGTTTATTATGGATTCAGGATTGTCTCCACCCAATTGCCAAGAATTCCACAATTTGTTTACTTCTTCATCTGTCAGGGCCTCAGATTTATTTCGTAAGTTACCCTTTCCATCTCTCTTTAATTGTCTTTGTTTTGACATGAGTACAGTTTTCATTTGTCCAAAAACGGGATCAGTCACTAGGGATCTGCCATAATTGGCTTGCTTCAAATGTCTATCAAAACCCGCAAGCATGCCACATAATATATCTGGTCAATACTCCTCACCGTTAACTTCTCTGGCACTCATGAAGAACTTTGTTCAAATTTCGTTGAGCTCAATGGGAGGAATGTCATGAATTTGTCTGTGTTCATTGCGCATGGAAGACTTGTAAGAATTCAAGATAGTAATGTCATATTTCGTCTTTTTGGCAGTGTTTTCGTTTTCGCTTTGCTTAAGAAAATCCTGTATTTCAATGTCAGAAACATCCCGAAATCTTTGGACTTTAGGCTGATCAAAGAAATCGTCATTAAGGAGATTATTGAGTACTTGCGTGGGTAGATGCATGTCACTGTTTGTTTCACAATGCGCTGATGTTACAGTCTCAGGTAACTTCCTAATTCTGTATCTTGGAACTTCTTTAACACCATTGGCGGTTTGCACAACGAACACGTTACAGGAATTTAGAGGTTGTGTAACACTGATAACACGACCCTTTAGCTGCCCATCTATCTGAACGAGATTGTTGACTGGGATGGTAGAAGCCATCTTGTTGTCGTCTGCGATTGTGTTAATCAAAATCTAAATTAATGTTTACTCATGAAGTTTGTATTTTTCTTGAAATCACATATTAATAAACATGTTGTGTGAAAATTTGTTCTTTTGTAACGTTTTGTGGTTTACAGCATTTAATTGGTTCCTTCTCGTAGTAGCGGGTCTGAACATTCGTTGTAAATTTGTAGTAAAACGTTATGAATGAAAAAAGTAGTTCCACTTTCCAATGGGGTCATGAAGGTCATGGTCGGATAACTGACTAATGAAATTCGTTTTAGGGTTTATTACACGTGTGCAACATATGCTTTTTATGTACTCGGTTATGTTTCACTGTATGGATAATACAAATTGATAACTCTCTCAGTAACAGCCCATATTTTCGTCAACCGTAAGCGAACAATAGCTTACATTACCAAAGAATGAACATCAAACATACCATGTTCTGGTCGGTAGACTCTGGCAGGTCTATTTTGATGAAGAGGATCCGAGCAAGAAATCTAAAGAAGAAAGTTTTCACACTTCGTGGCAGTTTGTGTCCTCTCGCCCCTCGTTGATGGATATTCAGAGTGAACACGGCCAGAACAATACTCAGAGACACGATGACGATATTGATCGCATAGTACCAACCTGCGGGAGAAAACCCAGATTAAACATTTTTGATGGGGGGCATAATATTATGCCAGTAGGAGTCATAGAAACAGATGGCATTGTGTTGACTTGGTAAATCATTGTGTTTTAGGGTGTAAACCCGTCTCGATTTTGTGACACGCATATTAATCAGTGAAACAGTTTCTCACATTAGTTACGAATTTGACAGGGACTCTCTCCCATTGGTATGATTCGGTTGAGATGTGCATGAGATACAACAAAACAGCATTATTAACAAATTACATACAACGATACACTCCGTGAAAATTCATCTATACTCAGAGGCAAAACTTGTTGTGAAATAAATTGTTCCATTAGAGATCTTCTGAATGAATTTTGGGGTTTGACCAAGATGGGCAGTTGTTGTTCAAATTTCACGAAATTTGAAAGACGTGTGACATATTTGAAAAACAAAGTGGCCAGCAATGTTCACATTTAAAGACCAGGCAATCAATACGTTTCCTCTCAAAGCAGTCTTAAGAAGTGCACAAGTCAGAAAACACCTGCCGTCATCGTTCTGGAACACATGCCACGCCTTGAAGAAGAAACGTGATTGATCGGTAAAGAGGCCCCTTCTCCCAATCACAAGTGTTGTCAGAATTGAACGTTGGGTTGGACGTCTTACACGGATGGCATAGACGCCAAGACGCCGTCGAACTGTTCTCACCGATGCACCTCTACTACCAGGTTTGGTACAGACTGTAAGGGTTGCTGGCTAGAACCTGTGTTGTAGGTGCGTGGTTCGAATCCATCGGCCCTGACGTGTGGTCGTTACTGGTGGGCGGCCACTACTGGGATGGATTAAACCTTGACTGTTTTTCTGAAAACGTCACCATAAGTGCCACATAACGTTTCTATTGATGTTGAATGAATGAGCAACGTCATGCTACGAGGTACCAGAAAGAAGCACAGCTGTCAAGCTGACAGGTCTACAGGTAGAGAGCTGTCCATTTTCACCAAGGCGTGGCAAACGTGTTCCAAAACGATGACGATGTTGAGGTAGGATCACTCACTCACCCACCCACCTTCTCACCCACCCACCGTCTCACCCACTCACTCATGCACACAATTTCAATGTGTCCTTTATAATATTCTTTTAAACCGGGAGCATGTAAGCGTGGTCGTCTTTGGTGGAGCAATCACTGCACAGGGCAACAACAAGCTGGGCGAGTTAACCCTACTTCATTCACTCACTGAAACTATTTTAAAAACAAAACAAAACACAACTTACCAATTAGAGGAATCGCAAGAGACGTCGGTGGTAGCAATGTCGAAATAACCAGCAACAACGCTATCATTGACAGAAGAGAAGTGATTCCAATAGATACTTTCTCCCCAGATTCAGTGGGCACCAGGAGTCCCAGCAGAGCCACCAACGTGATGATGAGGCAGGGCATCATGAGATACATCAGGAAGAACAGGGGCCGTCGTCTCATGGTAACTGTGTACGTTAATGTAATGTAGGGCTCCAAGCAGCATGAGTAATGCGTGACCTGCCGGTTCTTTGTAAATGATATCAGTTCCCATTCCGCATTGGAAATGTATTCAGATAAGGATGCTTCCCCTCGTTCACCATTTGAGATATTGAGTTGATTGCCATGATATGTCCACGACTCGAACGTCATCCGACATTGTTGTTGATCCATGGGAAAGGATGCGACGTTGATATAACACGACGTCTTCAGGATGACCTGGTACGGCACGCCAACGTTTCCACTTGACTCCAGAATGGCGTTGTTTAGTCTGCTTGACGATATGTCGTTAACTTCCACTCTTCACCGGAAATTAATACAAATTACCAAATACTTTCAGTCTATAGATGTAAATAGTTTAAGAGCCCCTCCCCCTCCCCCCCCCTTCTCTCTCTCTCTCTCTCTCACACACACACACACACACTAAACTATGCACCTCAAACTATGTCTCTAGATTGATCTAGCATCACCCATTCAACCTCACACACATCTACACAAATACACACACAGATACACACACACACACCCACACCCGACCAGCAGCTTTAGACAGTTAACGACTGCGTTGTATATAGCCTGGAGGAGACAAAATTACTTCTTTACGGTAGGTCGAAACATATGAAGAAAGGACAAGTTAAGACATTTTGCTTTCAGGGATACAAATGTACGTCAAGGATGAACTATTTCTATCAAATACTCTCATCATAATGCCTGAAGAAGTGTTATTGGTCTGACTGGGCACCTGATGTCTTCCCTGTCGATGGAACAAGGCCCGTGGCCCGCCTAAGGGTCATCGGTTTCAGGTACATATTGGAAGAAGTAGTATAGGGAATGGTGGTACGAGACCAGGCCCTTCCCAAGGGCTCAATATAAAAATTGAGCCCTTGGTACGTCCCCGATCCCGTACCACCATTCCCTATACTACTGCTGTGGTGTATGCAAAATGTCACGAAAATCGGTCGGATAGTTTAGTAGATACTAACTTTTGAGCGAGCATGGGTTTTTGGTCGCAGTAACATATCATAGCACACAAACCATGAGAAATATTCAGCAGTGGGTGATCTGTAAGGGAGTGTGTCACGGGGTACGATCATCAACTCTTCTCTGACGAATACTCTCAGTGTCCCGCCTTTCAAGAAGTACAAGTTTGGTTCGCCGTCTTTGATGTCGACCAGGTCTACGTTGTACGTTTTCATGGACCATATCGGATCGGTGGCGCGTTTTCTGCTGTCTCCCTCGTATTCACGCGGCTGGTATAATTATCTAACGCTGACACAGTCCGGTAACGTTTTCTCTGTTTTATCGCGACACGCTGCTGGTGACGATTCGACGGATTTCATTTTGATAGCTTCGACGGGTCTTTTGCCCACGAGTCTGGTGACTTCATTGTTGATGGCATCCACCACTCGCGGCAAGCGCACGCGCCATTCCGTGTTTCTGTCTTCGGGATCCATCAAATCCTGCGAGTACTGATGCGGGAACAAGCGTTCGGCTAGTGTGGGAATGAATCTCTCGACGATGGCTTGGCTGTGGTGAGCTCCCACTATACTAAGTCTCACCCATACTTTGTGTTTGGCTAGCAGCTGCGCCACGGCTCCCATGAACTCGCGTCCGGGATCGACTTGCAATACGGTAGGCCAGGTCAAGTGACTGCGTTTGTAGATGCGTTCCAAGGCTTTGGCGACTTCGTTCGAGATCTGCAAAATGTAATGACCGAACTCGGTGGTGGTGGTTTGTGCAGAAGTGCCCCAGCGCGCTAAAGAGGCGTCGGACATAATCGAGAAAATATTGGTCACGTACTGGAACGAACCCTTACCCGGTTTTGAATTTCCTGTAAGGGAACTTCGGGGTCTAGACGAAGCCTTAAAAAACGTGCGAGGAGAACTCGTGAACAACATGGGTAAAATGAACGAAATTGATGAGCACATCGCTCATGAGAAAACCAAACTCGAACAAGTGGAAGACGAGACCAGCAGATGTTGCATCGAGAAAAGGTTGAGCAACCTGGAAGACGAGAGATGGACCCAATTGGAAGCCACTTCCTCCAACCGGGAAGCCCTCCGATCGCAAATCACCCGCGTGCGCGAAACCATCAACCGAGTCTTGAACGAGGACACCACGTTGGCCGACAGGATCCGAATTCTGTTCTGGGAACAAGGGATCACCATCGCCAGCGTTCTCACGGCTTTGGGCTTCATCGTAGCAGCCCTGGTCGTATCGCTGACGGGTGGCGGCGGAGGCACACCACCAGCACCCAGGGAGGTGGCGATGTCAGAAACTGGATAAAAAAACAATTGAAATCGCTCGGCGAATCCCTCGCGAAACTGGCCGGCAAAGCCGCCAAAGCGCTGCCTGGTATCTTGAGCAGCATCGTGTCCTGGTTGCTGGGCTTCTTGTCGAAAACCGTCACGTGGCTCGGTCAAAACCTGTGGGCGTTAGTCGTCGCCGTGGCGGGTCTGGTGTACATCGCGGCTAAGGAATTTTTAACCAAATGAGACACAGTCTGACCGCGATCTCGCCGACCACCAGAGCAGTTTCGCGGTCGACGTGTCGCTGATTGTTTGCCTGCACGTGCGGAGGCAGCTGCTGCTGCTGCTGCTGTCGTGGTGGTGGTTCTACTTCCGGTGCCGGTGCCACGATTCCCGTTTCGTAGTGCGGCACGACTCGACTCGCATTACTGACTTCCGGGTTCAAGCCCAGCTTTTGATCAGCGGTCGCGATGACGATTTCATTATTGTAACCCACCACTTGGTTCATCCTCAGTAGCATGTCGCTCAGAGCCATGTACAGTTCAGCGCCGAACACATAGTCGACTTTCGACCGGGTGTATTCCAGCGCGTTTTGGCACTCGTACGATGGCACTCGGCAGATCGACCGGTCTGGCGATGGCATCCTCGATGTTGACCACGAACTGTTTCTGCATATCGTAAGCCGTTCCTTCACGACCCAAGATGCCGGAACGTGTTTGCGACTGCGCACCCAGCACGGCCCACATGTAGGTTCGAATCAAATCGTTCAATCTGATGACACCGGCACGAGTAAATCCTTTCGAAGTGTCCAGCATGAATATTTTCCAATTGTCCATGGGTCCCTGCTCAAACCTCCAAGCGTGGTAATCCTTGCTGTTGTCGAAAGTCATGTAGTCATCGTTCCACTCGTTCGTCGTGACGTAATGATACGACTTATAACCCCAATCTTTCGCCAGCAGTTTGCTAGCTTTCACGAGAGACATGTTGTGAACGATGGGAATGCCCAAACCGTGGTTCAGACCCGGCAAACGCCAATCGACCGTCTTTGGATCTAGTTCGAATTCACCGCAAACGCGTTCGTACGCACGTCGATCGTATGGATTGTTTACCGCATTCCATCCAGCATCCTGCGGAATCGGGGCGCTGATTTCTTTCAGGATACGCTGATCCAGTAGTACTCGTGAAAATAGAACATGGACCGACTTAACACATTGCGACGAGTGTCGTTAAAGGCCGCGCTACACCCGGTGGTGGCGCACCACATGGCGAAATTGAATTGATTCTGCCAAAACTGCATCTGGTTGTGAAACCAAGCGTGTTCCGTTTTCACGTTTGTGACCGAAAATCCGTCATTTTCAAACACATCGATGAATCGAGTTGGAAACCATCTTTTGCATCCACCATGATCTTCGGTTGCGTGAGATCGGTAGCACTTATATCATCGCTTTTAGGATAAAATATTCCCGGTGTAGCCATATTGAACTGGGCTTGAAGTGCACATCCGAGAAATTATCCGAAAACCAATTGAAAATTATTTCCTAACATACGGATACAGTCATGAGTGCAAACGTGACTCCGCAAGCCACCATCGCGTTCTCCGATCTAGGGGACACGCGAGGATTCGACCAACCCGTTACGGAAAACGCCTTGTACGTGTTGCACTTACAAAACAATGTGTACAAACGACGAGAAGTCATCTTCGAATCTCAGTTGAACTGGATTATTAACATCGTCCTCACCTACCCCTATCTTATCACAGATGAGAATCGTAATGTCCTCGAACTAAAAAACAAAGGGGTTCTACTGGACAGGTTTATTCGATTCGAGGAAAATGCATTTTACGATACACCACTGCCATATCAAAAGGGTTACATGCTGGTCGCCCGTCTGGGATTAGGAAAACAATGGATGTATCTGAAAAACTTTCTCACAGCACCAGGCTCGTGAGTACCTACGATACAAGGTTCTACCCTTATTATCGAAGTTTTTCTCAGAGATGCCTCCGCACAAAAAGTGCAACTTGTGGATGCGTTATACATACGCTGGTATAACCATGAATATTAATGCTGTCGTATTTACGTACAACTAGGAACAACAGTCCCCACCACAAACCTCGATAGAGTCAAGGTTATTCAGGATGGACACACCATTACATTTTTTTTAGCCGAACATTTCCATTTTATTAGCATAAAGTATATTCACCAACGATTGACTGAGGACCAATTAAACACTATTTTCGGTCGACAACAACGTAAAGTGTTGAAACACGACGAAATTAGAGTTGTAGCCAAAGCGAAGCTCAACACGATAGAAGGTCACATTTCCAGCGCGCTCACCGACAGTAAAATATCCGAGGAAGAGTTTAGGTTGGTGCTCACGGACCTGATACCAAATACCACAGAATGAAACAAGAGATTTGAACCAAGTCTCGTAAAATCTCCGAATTCAGCAAAGACGAGAAAAAAAAGTTAGTGGAACAAGGGAGGCAACAGGCCCGAGAAAACTTCCTCACGAAAACCAAACAAACATCCTTGATGATGTTAATGATGTGAAAATTATTACCATAATACTTGCTGATCACTCACCTAACGATAAGACACTCAAAAAACAATATCTCCTAAACTATCCGACCGATTTTCGTGACATTTTGCATGCACCACAGCAGTAGTATAGGGAATGGTGGTACGGCATCAGGGCCGTACCAAGGGCTCAATTTTTAAATTGAGCACTTGGGAAGGGCCTGGTCCCGTACCACCATTCCCTATACTACTGAAGACAGTTGACACGAACCACTACCAGTATTTCGTTATTGGGCTTATTCCCACACGAAGCTGGTACGTTGTCATGTACTGTTCAAAATGGCGTAAAACCCAACTCACTCACTCATGCATACGTACCAAATATATCCAGCAATTTGTAGTCAGCACTTGTTTTTTCTCGTCCTACAATAATAGAAAAGTTGTTATGACGTCATCAGTTCGTAACTCTCCAGATATAAAAATAAACCAACATAAAGAAAAGACTTTATTTTTGATTGATGAAGCCGAATCATTTTAAGACAACAAACAAATTCAGTTACTCAGTAACAATGTCCCGTGCTAACAAGTCAAGGAAGTGGTCACTAAAATGTCTTGTCATTCCGACACAACTGTGCTAAACAATGGTTTAACTATTTAATTTATAACGTAAACATATCTCTATTTCTCTTGAACTGCTCAATATGTAACGTTAACATATCTCTATTTCTCTTGAACTGCTCAATATTTATATGACTATTTCTCTTGAAATGTTCAATGTCTAACGTAAACATAACACTTATCTATTGAACTGTTCAATATTTAACGTAAAAAATATCAAGTTTTCTCCAGAACTATTGTAATATACAACGTATCGCTGTGGCGTTTTAACTATGGACGTGTGCAAATTTACTGAACATTTAAATATTGCGTTTTAACTATTGCAGAATACAAGTTTAGTGTGTGTGTTTCACCTATTCGATTACACAACATGCACGAACTATCTGTGGCCAGATACACTTACGACGTCAGATATCTCGACAAGGGTGAGGTACATTATCACATCCAGGGTGGTGTTAGGACCAAAAGGTTCAACACGTTTGTCGTAAGTTTGAAACAAGTCCGCAACCAGGCGTTGTTTGGGATTGCAAGCTGCGGAGGCTGACAACAGAACAATATCGGGGATAATATCAGATTCTCGAGGACTTCAGTCCTGCACCACAACGAAGCACACTTGATGCATGTAATCTTACCTTGGACAAGTGAGTTTCTTCACAATTGCCTCGATCTGTTCAACGAGCAGGAAATGGGTACTGGGTGGGATGAGTCATGTGAACATTAACCTTCTAGCGCCTCACAGGCAGCTTGGGTTATCCGGGGCCATAATATTCAGAATCTGACAACAGTGTGTAGTGAGCAACTAGTCAGATGGATACTAGGCGCTATATAAATGAATTATTAGTATAATTATTGATGACGTCATTTCGCAAAAGGACAATAACAAGAATAGTCAAAACACGTGAACCAACAGGACATCATCAGGGGCAGACAGGAGACGTGAACCAACAGGACATCACCAGGAACAGACAGGAGACGTGAAACAACAGGATATCACCAGGGACAGACAGGAGACGGAACTCCCAGGAAATAGAGCAGAGATCCACAAAAGACGGGGATATCCAGGACAAAAGGGTATCTGAGATTCACAAGAGAAGAGAAATATCAAAACATTAACGGCAATACACATGAGTCATGAAACAACAGCATAACATCGGGTGTAAGGAGATCGGACACTATTAGTTACACGGTGTTTTGAAAGGGAGTACGGGGCTGCAAGACCCTTGTAAATTCCGTATTTCCTGAGGCGCAAAATATTTTCTGAGGCAAATACGGAATTTACAAGGGTCTTACAGTCCCATTAGAACCTTTCAAAACACCCTGTGACGAATTTATTACCCTTAAGATCTTTTTCTTTAGGTTTTCTTTAAACAACAACATTCAATCAGCAGAAGAATGAGACGCAAAACGTTTCGCCATGACTTTTCCTGAACGGTCATAAAGGGAGATCACTCGGGATGGCTTAGTTAATGATAAAAAATCGAATTTGAGGTTTTGTTAAACGACAAGTGAAATACAGAAACCTTTTATTTTTGGATATATTTATTCACACAAACAAATAAGAAATTATGATAACAATTTTATTGCTCTGTTTATACTCATTATTGTATACGCCAAGTCTAAAATTTCGAAGCGATCAGCCATTTGAAAGCCACATTCCATCTAAGGTCAAGGTCATTCGTACAACCCATGTAGTGTGTCACATGACATATTTCACGGGGTGCACGGTTCGTACACCCTTGCAAATCCGCCTACATGGTTTGGTATGCTTTGGCTATTAACTAATCAGAATTCGACAAATTTATCTTAAGGGTAATAATGTTTGCTATGCTTTGGCTCTTGACCAATGAGAATTCGACAAATTTATCTTAAGGGTAATAAACAGGAGTATACAAAAGACAAGAAAAAACAGCATAACATCAGGTGTAAGGAGATCGGACACCCAGGAATATACGAGAGACATCAAACAACAGGGGAAAGGAAATGTGCAGAAAGTGAGAAATAACAGGGCAATATCAGGCAAACAAGGAGATGGGGAAAAACATGACATTGTGAGATATGGACGGTGAAGTAACAGAATAGTAACAGAGATAAACAGGGGACCGAAGAATACATAATACAAGGTAAACTCGGGAAACTGCAAGACCAGGAGACGTGACATAACAGAACGTATTTTATGAATAGATATGGAAAACAACAACATGTGAAAGTAGGAGCCGCCTTATATCTTAAACATTTAAAATTACTTCTGACACCACATGGTCGCTGAAACCAGTGACCTGTCAGTTGTTTCCCTTAACAGTGGCAGGATCCAGTTATGGTTTTACAGAAGCCTAGATTGTTTCTGATTATCCTTCGCGGTCCTGTAGCATACTACTTGGCGAATTCAAGAAATCGGTCAACGCCTTGCACAAAGCTAATAAACCCTGGTATGACTTAAATACCATTCAAAGCGATACCGCTGTGGCGGCGTGTGGTCCTGTGCACAGAGCTCAGGTCACAACCAGCTGAAGTTAAGCAACGTTGGGCGCGGAGAGTCTTGGATGGGTGACCGTGTTTGGCAGCCTGACTCCTCAGACTTCAGTCCTGCCCCACAACGAAGCACCTGCGACACATGTGGTCTCACCTTAAGCAAGTGAGTTTGTTCAAAATTGCCACTGTTCACCCAGCAGACATTCGGTACCCGGTGGGATATATCATGCGAGTAATAGCATAGCGACTCACTAGCTGACAGGTTGGGTTATCCAGGGTAATAATAGGCGGATTTTTAGCGCTATGAACATCCAACGAGTGAATGTAGTTAAGCGAACTATAACCGCACTTATCGTTATTATTATTATTATTATTATTATTATTATTATTATTATTATTATTATACCTTCACACACTATGAAAGATTGTCCTTACCGAGCGTCCATCCAATGAAGAGAAGCACCGTCTTTACATCCATCTCCGGGAACTCAACACCACAAGCCTATGGGTGAAGATGTGAACGTATTTGAAACTATTCCAGCTATCAGTTTTGATCTGCAAAATACTTGCCAGGTTCCAGCACAGATAGATGCGGCTGCTGTCGGATTCTTTCTGCGGCTTGACGGTGACACGGTGGTATTTAGATAGCATTGCGTAATTATTCATTAACGGCCCAAAGATAAACATTACGTTCTATTGCCTATCGTAATGTGGTTGTAAATAGCAAAGGCCGAAACGACAGGGTGTTGACGGTACATTACCTGACTAATGACTGTGATAGTATCAACTTGTGAATAACTGCATAATGTATCACATGGCTTTACAAAGTAATCCATCAACTGACTGTGTGACGGTGATAAGCGTAGCCTGAAACAGTGGATGGCAATAGGGATGAATAGTCACTCCACGCTTACCTCCCTTTCATACTACTGTACATCTGTAATAGTTCATAGGAGTAATAATCTATTTTAACAGAACTCGATAAATCTGGATGAATTTGCTGACATCTTGCTTTCAGTCTTTAAAATATCTGATGTCTCGTTTCAAAAACACAATTAAACTCACCCAAGAAAGTCTGGTTCAGCGGTTGAAGCTATCGGCGTGAGTCTGTCAGTGAGTGGAGTCGCTTCGTGTGTAGACCATGGAGGCAACACAGAGGCGTTTCCTCAATCCTATGTACCAAAATAGACTTTCCCCAGAGATATATCGCACTGATCTTCAGCAGGGGAGGGGGATGTGAAGGGGAACCAACAGATGCTTGTTGTAGAGAGACGATACCACATGGTTTTGAAAGTCTTCTTGTCGGAATCTCTTTAGAATCCGTTCGGATGACCCAAGTTGATTGTTCATCCGGACCTTCTTTCACACAGCGATCTTATCTCGTCGACTGTCAGTAATTTTGACTGAATACGACAAAGTTACACAACGATTCGTGAAACGGGCCCGTCAGCAACATATTTGAATAGTATCATTGGATACTGGCATTAGAGTTTTAGCGAATTTGTCATTCAGGGAGTTCGATGTTAGCACGTACATGTCACATCACGAGAAAAAGACTAAAACTTTTGTCAATATAAGCACATCAGCTGAGAATAGACGCAAACAATATAGTATCGGTGACTATTAGCAAATGCACGAAAAGGTAACCATGAGGTCCAGCAGGGAATATATTCACTGAGCATGTACTGGTGTCTGTTATCTCTACAGGCCAAGTAACCTGATAACATATAATTATTATAGCAACAATTAAATCCATTTGATTTGAAAATAAGCCCAGTGTGAAGAGAGATTCACAACTCAGGAAATCTACACTGGCGTCGTTTAGGGCTTCAGCATTGCAGGGAGGGCTAGGCTGTAGGGGAAATAATGTGGTTCAGGGACTGTGAGGCAGACTACATTGCAGGGAGGGCTAGGCTGTAGGGAAAATACTGTGGTTCAAGGACTGTGAGATAGACTACATTGCAGGGACGGCTAGGCTGTAGGGAAAATAATGTTGTACGGGAACTGTAAGTCACACTACATTGCAGGGAAGGCTAGGCTGTAGGGAAAATAATTTGGTTCAGGGTATGTGAGACCGACTACATTGCAGGGAGGCCTAGGCAGCAGGGAAAATAATGTGGTTCAGGATATGTGAGACCGACTACATTGCAGGGAGTGCTAGACTGTAGGGAAAATAATGTGGTTCGGGAACTGTAAGTCAGACTACATTGCAGGGAGGGATAGGCTGTAGGGAAAAAATTGTGGTTCAGGGTATGTGAGACAGATTACATTGCAGGGAGGGCTAGGCTGTAGGGAAAATATGTGGTTCAGGGGCTGTGAGACAGATTACATCGCAGGGAGGGCTAGGCTGTAGGAAAAATAAAGTGGTTCAGGGACTGTGAGATAGACTACATTGCGGGGAGGGCTAGGCTGTGGGGAAGATTATTTGGTTCGGGAACTGTAACACAGACTACATTGCAGGGAGTGTTGGGCAGTAGGGAAAATAATGTTGTTCAGGAACTGTGAGAAAGACTACTTTACAGGGAGGGATAAGCTGTAGGGAATATAAAATAAAATTCAGGGAGACTACATTTCAGGGAGGGCTCAGTAGTGGTTAAAAAAATGTTGTTCAGGGACTGTGAGACAGACTACATTTCAGGGAGTGATAAACTGTAGGAATATTAATGTGGTTCAGGGACTTTGAGACAGACTACATTGCAGGGAGGGCTATGGATAGTAGGGGGAATAATGTGGTTTACGGACTGTAAGACAGACTACATTGCATGGAGTGTTGGGCAGTAAGGAAAATAATGTGGTTCAGGGAGTGTGAGACAGACTTCCTTGCAGGGAGGGCTAGGCTGTAGTGAAAATATTGTGGTTCAGGGACTGTGAGAGAGCCTTCTTTTCGGGGAGGGCGACATATGATGTATATGACAATGCTTATGTTTCACCATAAGGGTAATAAAGTCCCATATTTGTAAAACGTTCCCAGAGCTTTATTACATATTTATAACACATCGCTATGCCATTTCATTTTCAACACCTTTGTAAAGTCTGTTTCGGTAAGATGGCTTCTTTATGTCTAAATAACAATGACCAACACCACGCTATATGAATATAGTTGATCTGTATTTCACTGAACACGAGGCACATGTTGCATTAAAAAAGCAGTCGGCTCGGGCAACGTGAATGACCAACGCCACATTGTATACAAATAATTCTGTATTCCATTTTGTGTTCAGACACCAGCCACTGTGCAGTCAGTTGAATCAAGAGCACCTGTGGCGTTGGTCGTGGAACCTTTAGAGCAAAGGTCACAGTCTAATTGTTCCGGTGAGCTTTGATACGACCCTCTTGGACATGGAGTACACGGTTGAAGACCATCAGATGAAGACGTTCCGGGCTGACACGGAGCTGTAGATACAGTGACATGGAATCATATTTTTACTTAAAACAGATTTTGAACAAAAGGAATAGTGACCACGCAATGTCAAGGTCGTAAAACAGAGCTGCCAGATACAGTGAACCTTCATCGCCCGGACGCCTCGTTTACTGGAAGGGACTTCTACATGAAGACAAAAAAATATATAACACATCTAGAAGTATTTTTATCCAGAAATGTTTTGGACAGGGCGCTTTCAATGGAAGCGGTAACGTTGTGTCAGATATACAATCTGTCTAAACTCCTGCCAATTATGCCTGTGCATGATGGAACACCCACTGTAGGTTGTAGCATTCAATGTATGGTACAAAAGTCACTGTATGATGTAGCAATCACTATAATCATGTAACATTCACCACATCATGTAGCGTCATGTAGCATCGGAAGAAACGGTCTTTGCTTATAATTCATACACTATCTATATAGGAACAAACCAAAACAGCAGTAAGACATGTCCCGTAAAACAGAAATCATGCAATGCCTAAAAACTCATAGTTGCTGAGAAGAAATCTTTGATGAGAATTTTAGCAACAGTTAGAAGTACGTTTCCACACACCGCTTCCATCAAACCCGTGATCACTCCCGTCGGCGTCGCATTGTTGTATCACATTTCAAACAAACTTTGAATCTTTGATAGATTGTGTACCTTTGCCTGAGACGTTTTAAAGTTTTAAAACGGGAAATATTGTTGTATACCTTAGAAGGAAGCGTGGTCCCCACACGTACAGATACATACAACATAGATAAACGACTGGTGTGTATGTGTAAAATGTGGATAGACTTCTGAAAAGTTATCGATTTGCATAAAAAGAAACTATATGTCCCACCTCTGCAGTCCGTCTTGGAGACAGCACCATTGGTCGAAGTGGAGAAACCCCACGGACAATACATGCACTTGTTACTGTCTTCATGATCTTGGTAGGTTCCTTTAGGACAAGCCACGCATTTCGTCAAGAGCAAGAAGTCCATCAGGTAATACCCTCTGGGACATGTGCCTGGAAATATACCCATCACTCTAAATGACAGGGCAAGGAAAAGCTATGAACAATTTGTAGACCGCCACACTCAGCTTGTGTATAACCAAATCTTGCGACAAAGCAGTGATTGATGTAATAGACAACGGTCCTCTGCCGTTGGGGCACGATGACACACTTTCATCTCAACCTGGGGCGGTGGGGTAGCCTAGTGGTTAAAGCGTTGGCTCGTCACGCCGAAGACCCGGGTTCGATTCCCTACATGCGCACAATGTGTTAAGCCCATTTCTGGTGTCCCTCGCCGTGATATTGCTGGAATATTGCTAAAAGCGGCGTAAAACTAAACTCAGTCAATCAGTCAGTCATCTCAACCTTGTCTTACCACTCAATCCCTTTCGTCACCATGTACGACAAGGTTATTTGGGATCTCCAATAAGTACGTAATATGGAATGAATTGCAAATTGGCTCTGTCAGATAAAATCCTACATTTTACGTACATCCTAAAATAATTAGAGTACGTCATTGGAACAGTATTACTTTATATGTGTACCGATTCAACCGTAGTAAGATGCATAAGTACAGAACGTCAAACAATTGAATCTGAAAACTGATTGAAAGTGCAAGCTGAATCTGTGAACAAATCGACGCCGAGTGGTACTACAATTCATGTGGTGTAGCTTGTTTGTGAAGTTCATCTCACCAAGACCCGTGAAGGTCCAGGTTAGAACTGGTCTTCAGCAACCCATGCTTGTCGTAAGAGGCGACTAACGGGATCGGGTGACACATGTCATCGTATCACAATTACGTAGACCGATGCTCATGCTGTTGATCTCTGGATTATCTGGTCCAGACTTTACACACCGTCGAAATATAGCTGGACTACTGAGGACCGTCGCGTCAAACAACAAACAAACCAGGGAGTTGTATACTCCCCAGGGAGTTGAGATTGATAATACGATGTGCCGTTGAGATTGACATCCAGTAAACGAGGGAAAACATACCAGCGCCTTGAGCATGCACTAGTTGCCTGGATATGTGCGTTATATAAATATCCTATAATAAATAAAATAAATAAATAAAAAACCAAATCATCTCACCAAAACGATTAAAGGGAGTAAACCATATTAACCAGACAAGTTGCAATGAGAATAATGGCACAATTGAAAGACTAAAGCGTACAGTCTCCAAGTCTGTTGCCCCCAGGCATCTTCGTCCTCCTCCCCGCAGGACAAGCGTCACACTGTTTAGATCCTGACTGAGTCTGGTATGTTCCTATGGGGCACAAGGCGCAGGGTTCAAGGCCATCGGAAGAGAAGCTGCCAGGACCACAGGGACCTGTTGGAGAGCAACATTTGGCCTTTTACCTGTAGTGTTGTAGAGCAATATCTGGTTGTTGTATGTGTTGGAAGGTCTCCAGATTACCTGTAGTGTTATAGAACAATATCTGGTTGATGTATATGTTGGACGGTCTCCAGATTACCTGTAGTGTTATAGAGCAATATCTGGTTGATGTATAAGTTGGAAGGTCTCCAGATTACCTGTAGTGTTATAGAGCAATATCTGGTTGATGTATATGTTGGACGGTCTCCAGATTACCTGCAGTGTTGTAGAGTAATATATGGTTGATGTATGTGTTAGAAGGTTTCCAGATTACCTGTAGTATTGTAGAGCAACATCTGGTTGTTGTATATGTTGGAAGTTCTCCAGATTACCTGTAGTGTTGTAGAGCAATATATGGTTGATGTATGTGTTAGAAGGTTTCCAGATTACCTGTAGTATTGTAGAGCAATATCTGGTTGTTGTATATGTTGGAAGGCCTCCAGATTATCTGTAGTGTTGTAGAGCAACATCTGGTTGTTGTATATGTTGGAAGTTCTCCAGATTACCTGCAGTGTTGTAGAGCAATATATGATTGATGTATGTGTTAGAAGGTCTCCATATTACCTGTAGTGTTGTAGAGCAATATCTGGTTGATGTATATGTCGGAAGGTCTCCAGATTATCTGTAGTGTTATAGAGCAATATATGTCTGTTGTATATGTTGGAAGGTCTCCAGATTACCTGCAGTGTTGTAGAGCAATATCTGGTTGTTGTATGAGTTGAAAGGTCTCAAGATTGCGTGTAGTGTTGTAGAGCAATATATGGTTGTTGTATATGTTGGAAGGTCTCCAGATTACCTGTAGTGTTGTCGAGCAATATCTGGTTGTATAAGTTGGAAGGTCTCCAGATTACCTGTAGTGTTGTCGAGCAATATCTGGTTGTATAAGTTGGAAGGTCTCCAGATTACCTGTAGTGTTGTAGAACAATATCTGGTTGTTTTATGTGTTGGAAGGTCTCCAGATTACCTGAAGTGTTGTAGAACAATATGTGTCTGTTGTATGTGTTGGACGATCTCTAGTTTACCTGTAGTCTTATAGAGCAGTATATGGTTGTTGTATGTGTCGGAAGGTCTCCAGATTACGTGTGGTGTTGTAGAGCAATAACTGGTTGTTGTATGTGTCGGAAGGTCTCCAGTTTACCTGTAGTGTTATAGAGCAATATCTAGTTGTTGTATGTGTCGGGAGGTCTCCAGATTACCTGTAGTGTTGTAGAGCAATATATGGTTGTTGTATGTGTCGGAAGGTCTCCAGTTTACCTGTAGTGTTATAGAGCAATATCTGGTTGTTGTATGTGTCGGGAGGTCTCCAGATTATCTGTAGTGTTGTAGAGCAATATATGGTTGTTGTATATGTCCGAAGGTCTCGAGTTTACCTGTAGTGTTGTAGAGCAATAACTGGTTGTTGTATGTGTTGGAAGGTATCCAGATTATCTGTAGTGTTATAGAGCAATATCTGGTTGTTGTATGTGTCGGAAGGTCTCCAGTTTACCTGTAGTGTTGTAGAGCAATATCTGGTTGTTGTATGTGTCGGAAGGTCTCCAGATTATCTGTAGTGTTGTAGAACAATATCTGGTTGTTGTTATGTGTCGGAAGGTCTCCAGACTATCTGTAGTGTTGTAGAACAATATCTGGTTGTTGTATGTGTCGGAAGGTCTCCAGATTATCTGTAGTGTTGTAGAGCAATATCTGGTTGTTGTATGTGTTAGAAGGTCTCCAGATTACCTGTAGTGTTATAGAGCAATATCTGGTTGTTGTATGTGTCGGAAGGTCTCCAGATTACCTGTAGTGTTGTAGAGCAATATCTGGTTGTTGTATGTGTCGGAAGGTCTCCAGATTACCTGTAGTGTTGTAGAGCAATATATGGTTGCTGTATGTGTCGGAAGGTCTCCAGATTACCTGTAGTGTTGTAGAGCAATATCTGGTTGTTGTATGTGTCGGAGGGTCTCCAGATTATCTATAGTTTTGTAGAGCAATATGTGGTTGTTGTATGTGTCGGAAGGTCTCCAGATTATCTGTAGTGTTGTAGAACAATATCTGGTTGTTGTATGTGTCGGAAGGTCTCCAGATTATCTGTAGTGTTGTAGAGCAACATATGGTTGTTGTATGTGTCGGAAGGTCTCCAGATTATCTATAGTTTTGTAGAGCAACATATGGTTGTTGTATGTGTCGGAAGGTCTCCAGATTACCTGTAGTGTTGTAGAACAATATATGGTTGTTGTATGTGTTGGAAGGTCTCCAGATTATCTGTAGTGTTGTAGAGCAACATATGGTTGTTGTATGTGTCGGAAGGTCTCCAGATTATCTATAGTTTTGTAGAGCAACATATGGTTGTTGTATGTGTCGGAAGGTCTCCAGATTACCTGTAGTGTTGTAGAGCAACATATGGTTGTTGTATGTGTCGGAAGGTCTCCAGATTACCTGTAGTTTTGTAGAGCAATATCTGGTTGTTGTATGTGTCGGAAGGTCTCCAGATTATCTGTAGTGTTGTAGAACAATATCTGGTTGTTGTATGTGTCGGAAGGTCTCCAGATTATCTATAGTTTTGTAGAGCAACATATGGTTGTTGTATGTGTCGGAAGGTCTCCAGATTATCTATAGTTTTGTAGAGAAACATATGGTTGTTGTATGTGTCGGAAGGTCTCCAGATTACCTGTAGTGTTGTAGAACAATATATGGTTGTTGTATGTGTTGGAAGGTCTCCAGATTATCTGTAGTGTTGTAGGGCAACATATGGTTGTTGTATGTGTCGGAAGGTCTCCAGATTATCTATAGTTTTGTAGAGCAACATATGGTTGTTGTATGTGTCGGAAGGTCTCCAGATTATCTATAGTGTTGTAGAGCAACATATGGTTGTTGTATGTGTCGGAAGGTCTCCAGATTACCTGTAGTTTTGTAGAGCAATATCTGGTTGTGGTATGTGTTAGAAGGTCTCCAGGTTACCTGTAGTGTTGTAGAACAATATCTGGTTGTTGTATGTGTTGGAAGGTCTCCAGATTATCTGTAGTGTTGTAGAGCAACATATGGTTGTTGTATGTGTCGGAAGGTCTCCAGATTATCTATAGTTTTGTAGAGCAACATATGGTTGTTGTATGTGTCGGAAGGTCTCCAGATTATCTATAGTGTTGTAGAGCAACATATGGTTGTTGTATGTGTCGGAAGGTCTCCAGATTACCTGTAGTTTTATAGAGCAATATCTGGTTGTTGTATGTGTTAGAAGGTCTCCAGGTTACCTGTAGTATTGTAGAGCAATATCTGGTTGTGGTATGTATTGGATGTTCTCCAGTTTACCAGTAGTGCTCCAGAACCATTTTGTTTTCACCTGTACCAACTTATATGAACTGCCAAATCAATTGTCATGTACACACTGTACTCGGCACCATGTCCACCATGTGCTGCGACAGTTGCTGCCATTGTTCATCCTTTGTGAACCAAAACATGTTACATATCATCAGGCAGGACTGACAGAGGAACAGGTGGTTTCCTATTGCCTATCATACACAGCATGGTCTATAATCTCATAAAACTTATTCATCCAAAGCACACCCATTGAAAACACCAGAATAAAATCTATTACTATAACGAACGGCATCCTTATTGAATACGGACAAATACATACAGGAGAGTTTAACGATAAACATATCATTCATTACGTCCGGAAACCGCCTCCTAGGTGTAGTGGTTAGAGCGTCCGCCCGGAGAGCGGAAGGTCGCGGGTTCGATCCCCGACCGCGTCATACCAAAACACGTTAAAATATGGTACTTGTTGGTCCCTGCCTTGCGCTCGGCAGTAATGGGGACAACAAGGACTGGTCGGCTCGGAGTCAGTATAATGTGTCTGAGTGGGGTATTCATGCTTAACTGTGGCATGATATCTCAGTGGGCTAGCACTATAAAACCAGCTTCAGTCTGGGCTTGTACAAGCAGCCGCACATACACATACACACGCATGCACGTCGTCATATGAGCGAAATATTCTCAAGCACGACGTTAAACCAAATTTCACCTCACCTCATTACGTCCAGTGAGGCTTTCGGACTGTCAGTCTGCACGTGCTGTCACAACTCTGTTTGGAGGATAGTGCCATGGGAATGATTTTGCTTTAAGATAAATGGAATATCTACCACTGCAGCTGGATGAGGAGTTGGATCCGTCCGAGACTGTCGTGAAGCCATGCAGACACGGGACACATTGCAGACTTCCTTCTTGGTCCTGGTATGTTCCAGTAGGACACAGAACACATTTCATCTTTGACACATCACGATAGGACCCTTTTGGGCAACCTGTGGAAAACAATAATTCCTACAAACATCAAGATACTGAATACGTGCATTGTTCTTCGTCACAGAAATGCACATCAGTGACTGATGAAGAGGTTCCGATGTGCAGTATCGAGGCATTAATAATATGGATACAACAGATATTGGTTCCGCAAAAGGGAAATCAAATCAGGTTTTTGGCATGCCACGCCAACGCTTTCACGTCACAGTTAACCTGCATGCTTCTTTAACTAGGTTTTATAATGTTTATATGTAAATATTTCTGCAAGAACCCCACTATAGGCGTCCAAACCCTTCTAGTATTCATGAGAAATCTCCACTAAACTCAGATCGATTGTACGATTCCAAGTATAAAATGAGTAGTTGTTCGCCGAAAAGGTGAGATACATTGCAGAGGGACGTTAACCATTCAATGAATAAACATGCACGGGACATATGGTACACATCATACAACGTTTCATAAGATTTTCTGAGGCCATGAATTTTGTAACATCGTTGTAACCACTTTTGATGCCCGGTCAAACAACGTTCTGTGAAATCTTGATAGAATGAGCATACTCGACTGTACCTAAAATGTTGTGTAATGTAAACAATACAGTCGGGAGCTGGTTGAATGTTGCTCTACATCATTTTGTTTGACTATTGGAAAACCGATGCGGTTTACCCTGGTCACACAGTCGTGAGAACATTTATTCCCTCTGAATAATTTTTCGCTGCTCATTATAGTGCAGTCTTTCTGATCTAATTTATTCTAGTCTATGTGAGTAAATAGGTGGATGGGATCGGCAAGATGATGGTTATTGAATGATATAAGAAGCTTCAGTTAAACGTTTTGGCCACTTTATGTTGATTTCTCTTTGTCAATCCAAGCAGGAATTGCGATTCACATGCATCAAGACACAGTCGTAAGAAGGAGAGCACAGTTGGGGATGACTGTCTTTCCCTCCAAGAATTGACATATTGTTTTGTCGGTGTCTTTTGCTTTTACTTTTGATAAACCGCCAATACTATATGAAGATATCTATATAACTTGAGAAACGGCCAGGACGATTTGCAACGAAAAATCTGATGAATCAGGGAATGATATTTCTAGTATGTTACAAAGTGTACGAAGTTAAAGGATCAAATGGATTGACATAATTGAACTTGGTTCTTCTCTGAAACCCAAAAATTCCATGTAAATCGTTTGAGCCTTTGAGATTGCGCACGTTACTTGTTTTAAATACATTCTGGGAATATGTAGAAAGTCATCTATTCATTAGATTAAAGGAGTATGGTACTTTCTTTGAGACAGGTGCATTGGCTGGACCAAGTATTTTTTAAAACCAGTACAAGATAAGAACTTCAGGGTTTTAGAGTCAAACTGAGAGTAGATGACACCTTATGTATTCTGGCAGATATCGCCCTCAGTTAACATGCTTGCCTTGCATGTAGAATTATTGCATATTTCGTTTATGGACATGTTTTTGTATTAAGCAGTTAATGTAGTGACAGGTGCACCCGGTGCCAGGATACGCTGTTGCTTAACACTTGGTGTTATCACTATTTGGTGATTCATACACATATACACGTATAGTTGGAATTGTGCAATCGACTCTGTTTTCAGCAGAGGTGTCTTATGCTTGTGGAAAGAGTTTTGTCCTTTAATTTACATATAATGGATACGTTTTCTAAGGCCTTGGGAATAACTGCCGACTTGTCATGTTTGATGGCCTGACTGTAGACGACAGCTGGATGGTACAGCATAGTTTAATTCCGTGTTTGTTTTTCCTTCTCGTCACATTCTACATTTACTCGACCCAGCAATGTATCTCTGTTCAGGTTTTTAAGGAGTTTCGAAATTTGTGATCACTTAAATTCGAAATGTTGGCGAACATTTTGGGACACTAATATGGTATCTAAGAAAGCTACCTGAATTTTAGGGATTATTTCCACTTCCACAAGTTTCCAGACAAAACATCTTGCAAGGTGAGGAGAGGGATCCTACTAATTAAATATCACCAGGTGAAGGACTCTAACTCACTTTTTGCCTATGTCCTGTGTTAACCCTTTATTCGTTATCGTCAAATTGTTAATTTCGCCTCAACCTTGTTATTAGTCTTCTGTTGTATATGCATATATCACCTGTGCTCTCCCTGTGTCATTCATACTTGAAAACGATACAAGAACCTGTATCGAAACGACGTGCTCTAGAATTAAAGAAGTTGTCATATACATATATAATTGTTTTATCTACTTCCAGCTTCTAAAATGCCTCTTAAAGAATACTCTAAGACTGTTCATCAATATAAATACATGACAAGGTTTACCTGTACAGTTTGACGAGGAATCTGACCCCTCAGAAGCCGTCGTGAAGCTGGTTGGACACGGAACACATGCCACGCGTCCTTTCTGTTCCTGGTATGTTCCAATAGGACACAGAGCACATTTGTTCTTTGACACATCAAGGTAGGAACCTTGCGGACAAGCTGTGGAATAACACATACATTATTTGATTCCTAAATCTGTTTCCGAAGATATTCGGTACCAACTGGAATTTGTATAATACTATTCTATTACTGCATGTTATAATGTTGGTTTATTCAAAGCTACTGTAATATTCGGTGACAACCAAGGTAAATGTGATGCTACAATGCAATTTTACCTATTGAATATGTTCTACTGAAAGAGATTACTATCTACACTATCAGTTATCAATACATCCTGATCAGCAGTTTGTCCCAGTTTGTTATTGAACTGAACATTGCCAGAACATTTCTTAAAATTGTGTATGTCTTTGCAAGCATTATATATCCCCACAACACTTTGTACAAGATAATCAGCGGCTTGGTAATCTTACGTAAAAGTAAATTCAGTTAATAGAGGTGTAGGAAATGGACAACCATGTCAGTATGTAAATGTTTGCTACAAAAAGTCTATCAATTTTCAAAGAAGCATATGTCTAAGAGCAATAGCTCTGCATTACGCAAGTTTTATCATTTGCGACAGAATGAAATCAATTTGCTAAAGCTGGCAGATTATAGACGTATTCTTTGAGCGCTGAATGAGCGCAAGGACATTTCCCTTTCGGATGTAATATCGTTAAATTAAAATATAGTCAATTCAAAATCAAACTTAAGGGTTTAGCTACTTTAGGAAGTTAATAATTCCTTCAACCAACTCGGCACCTCGGCTCATTATCTGTGGATGCTTGGACATTTAATATCTAAGAAATCTATGTAAATACAGATTGTCATTTATATATTATATGTCCTCATGCGCAATGTGTTATCGTACTCCATATTGACACGGTGAAGTAGCAGGGATGTGCCTTGTTTCCTGACTTATCCATGGTCTCGTAATGTACAGTGTAGTTCCCTGCGGGATAAGCTCTTCCGGGTTGCAGGTTCGATGTCAAGGTCACGTTCAGGAAGTCACCATTTGGAGAGTCTATGGCCTTGACCTCTGTCCACGTGATGTTGATGGTTGTTTGGTTTGGCCTTAGGATGTGAGACTGGCTAGAGGGGCAGTTAATGAAGTTCGGAGGCGATGTGTCTGGAACGGAAACCGGTGAAGTTAATACATACTCTTCTTGGCTCCAGTAAGCGTTATTCCAGTCCCGACAGTCCCGATACGGTCCGCCTTTGTCAGGGGTGGGAGCAAGACAACCCAGTCGTGAATCTCCACAGAAACAAGTTCCGTTTTCGGTAAACAGCTATGTACATGGATATCAGGAAATGGATATTTATTCCTATGTATATATATATTATGTTACAGTAAATGTGACATTTCTGAATGGAAATTGAATTGTTTTCTACTGAAAAAATGAGAAATGATTGAACGATTACAAATTTGACAACAAGCAATCAAAAGCAAGCTTAAACAGGTTACGCTGACCTATACAGGTTACCCTGACCTATACGGGTTACACTGACCTGTACAAGCTACACTGATCTATACAAGTTACACTGACCCACAAGGGTTACATTGACCTACATGGGTTACGCTGACCTACAACGGATTACCTACACAGGTTACCTGTACACGGGTTACACTGACCTACACAGGTTACATTGACCTACAAGGGTTGCATTGACCTACACGGGTGACGTTGACCTACACAGCTTACACTGACCAACAAGGGTTACACTGACATACACGGGTTACACTGGCCTATACAAGTTACACTGACCTACACAGATTACATTGACCTACACGGGTTACACTGACCTACACGGGTTACATTGACCTACACGGGTTACACTGACCTACACGGATTACATTGACCCAGACAGCTTACACTGACCTACAAGGGTTACACTGACCTTCACGGGTTACATTGACCTACACAGGGTTACACTGACCTACACGGGTTACACTGACCTACACAGCTTACACTGACCCAGAAGGTATACACTGACCTACACGGGTTACACTGACCTATACGGGTTACACTGACCTACACGGGTTACATTGACCTACACGGGTTACACTGACCTACACGGGTTACATTGACCTACACAGCTTACACTGACCTACAAGGGTTACAGTTTATACTGACCAACACATGTGACCGATTCCGACCACGTCTCATCCGATTGACACAGCCGTTCTCTGACACCAAAGCTTGGCCCGAACCCGGACTCACAAGACAAGTTACAGGAAGTGCCCGTCCTGACTGAGGGTGCGCTACAGTTGAGGTATCCGTTGTCCACATGTTGGGGGGCGTGGCACTTCTTCTCTGTGGAATAAATTAAAACTACACCCACACACGACACTGAAGAAGATATAATAGCATACAAGTACTTCAATATCCTTCCATTCTCCTCCTGAACTGAACCCCTTTTGAAATTTATCACCTTAAAACCAAATGATGTCTAAAACAACAGGAAGCGTATAGATGTTAAAATCCACCCACCTATGCACGACGACGGCGTTGTCCACGTTTCATCATCCAAGCACGTCACCGCCGTCACCCCAGTCCCCGGTTTGTATCCACTGTCACACAGGAGACCACAGACGGTGCCAATAACTTTGGTGGCATCAGTGCAGTTGTAGCGACCATGAGACACAGAGGGAGGAGGGGGACACACGTGTTCTATACCAAAACAGAAAATCATTTCATTACGAAATCATAATTTGACACTTGATATGATTCAGTTTTACCACATGATTACGAGGGACAAGTTTCGTATCACTTTGTCCAGTACAGTCGTACCAGGAGCCGAGATGGAATACTACTAATATTACTACAACTGTCTCTATTACCACCGCCACTCGCTCGCTCACTCACTCACTCACTTACTCACTCACTCACTCACTCACCCACCTTCACTCACTCACTCGACCATCCACACAAAAGCCACCCACCCAAGCACTCACTCACGCACTCACTCACTCACTCACTCACCCACACAAAACCCACCCAACCACCCACCCATCCACTCACTCACTCACTCACTCACCCACCTTCACTCACTCACTCACTCACTCAATCTACATACCAACACAAGCTGCAGCAGACCAGGTATCGTTGTCCAAACACTTGATCTCAGAAGCAGAATTCAATCTGTAGCCAGGGTTACAGGTAACTTCACACACATCGTCCAGCTTATAATTAGAAGGTGTGCTGCTCCTGCACTTGAAGGACGCCATTGTTCACGGTAGGTGGTGCTGGACATTTGACTTCTGGAAGATGACATTGCTCATTCTCAAAAGTATTGTAACTTTAGAACCTTATGCAAGCGAACAATCTTTGTGAATGAATTTGTCACTTCTAAATTCACAATTGTTTCTAAAACAAACGGAAAACATCTCCTAAATAGATGCGATGTGAACCAGTGCCTAGACCTACCTACACAGTGAGCGTCGTAGCTCCATCTACCTCCCCGATCACAGTAGAGTTGGTTTGAGTATGCAGGTTTGAATCCGTGGTTGCAGGTCAGGTTGCAGGAGGCACCAATGGGAATGTATGAAGGACAGTCAAATCTTCCATTGGGTGTAGTGGGCGCAGATGTACAATTTGCAACTATATCAACACAAATACAGACACACTTTATGGATAAGCAACTTTTTTATATTCTGGTGATGCGACGTATAGCTGCAATGCAGGTCACCAATACCAGCATCTGTATCGAAACGTCGCATCACCTGAATAAAGAAGTTGTTCATCCATAAAGTCTGTCATTATTTGATTCTCAACAAGTTATAACAACACAAGAAAAATATTTCTACACACACAGATCAGGCTTTGTGTCCTCATGGCAGTGTCTGATAGTGTCATGGCAGTGTCTGACAGTAGCAGTGTCTGACAGTGGCAGTGTCATAGCCGTGTCTGATAGTGTCATGGCAGTGTCTGATAGTGTCGTGGCAGTGTCTGACAGTGTCTGACAATGGCAGTGTCATGGCAGTGTCTGATAGTGCCATGGCAGTGTCTGACAGTGTCTGACAATGGCAGTGTCATGGCAGTGTCTGATAGTGTCATGACAGTGTCTGATAGTGGCAGTGTCATGGCAGTGTCTGAGATTGTCGTGGCAGTGTCTGACAGTGGCAGTGTCATGGCAGTGTCTGACAACTAAAGAATGCATGAATAATTCACCCGCCGTATTTGTGAATGCATAAGGAAAAACATCCATCGAACTGTAAACGTTCATGTGACCACAATTGAAACAATTGAACCAAGAGCAAATACATATCTACCTTCATAAAGTAACATACTGGTACTTTAAGAACGTAATTGATTGCCAAGCAGAGTTTATCAAGGGTAGTTATCACGTGTCCTCTGATAAAGTGTCATTAGTCATTGACTGCAAACGTTAGCAACACGTATTCATCTTCATCCGGGGTATTGACTATACGTGTGCTTGAAGCTAAGGTCACATTGTCAAGCATCATTTCCACATTATTTCAACCTATCTTCTTCAGTCGTCCTGTGGACTAGATGTGTCTCATGAATGTCACTGTATGATTTTGAATTTAGATTTTGAATTTAATCTGGTTTACTTTTAGAAAAATCTCCTTCGATTCAATTAATTTCATAAGCGGTATGGGTTCTCTGTTATAGCTCTCCAAGAGAGATAATACTGTTTGGTTCGATCCGATATGCTTCGGACCTTGACTTCGACACTCGAGCATATATTCCATGTCCTAGACATTTCATTGTCTAACTGTTTAAATGTATTTTTCATGTTAGAAGTGTAGAACTCGAATGTAACATTGACTGCTGTTAATTAAATTTAACTTTTGTATTGTTTTGCAGTGAATCTACTAGAATCTACCTGAATCTACTAAAATCTAAGACTATGAACTCGACTGTAATCTACAAGGATTAATAGAAGTATATGAAGAATTTGAGTTGTCGTTTATAAAGTGAAGTCTGAAACCAAGGAACCATCAGTCACAGTGCCAATATTAGTTCAACAAAAGATGAATCCATCGCCTACACAGTCTGCCATGGTCTCTATCTATTGGTGTCCAACACAAACTTCGAAACCGTTATATGAAAGACGTCGGTTCTGTTTACTGACGCACACACGCACCCAGACAGCGGTAAGACTACAGAATAGCGGATACCTTCCGCCATCTTTGAAAGCGCGCGAGTTTACTTATGGTTTGGGTAAGGTTAATTAGGGTTAGGGTTAGGATTAGGATTAGGGTAAGGTTTAGGCTTAGGGTTAGGATTAGGGATGGGGTTAGGGTTAGGGCAAGGGCAAGGGGAAAGGTAAGGGTAAGGGTAAGAGTTAGGGTTAGGGTTAGGGTGAGGGTGAGGGTGAGGGTGAGGGTGAGGGTGAGGGTGAGGGTAAGGCTTAGGGTTAGGGTTAGGATTAGGGTAAAGATTAGGTTTAGGTTTAGGTATAGGGATAGGGATAGGGATAGGGTTAGGGCAAGGTAAAGGTAAAGGTAAAGGTAAGGGTAAGGGTAAGAGTTAGGGTTAGGGTTAGGGTTATGGTAAGGTTTAGGTTTAGGGTAACGTGACACTAAACAACATGGCTGGTAGGTATCCGGTATTCTGTAGGTGTACCCAGACAGCAACTCAAGGACACTATGTATGTTATATGAACCTTCGCAACCAAATCTGCCTGACCATGACGATTCGGTGACGCCGTATCTGCCTTCCTGGCATTTAATGAGGTATTGTAATGATTGGTATCCTGGGTCACAGTTCACCCAGCACATGGTCCCAGGTGTGTAGGTCGTTGCACTGCAACTCATCCAACCATTTGTCACGTGACTAGGCGTATGGCAGGGTCCAGCTGTGTGATAAACAATAATGTACAACTTCATTATTTCAGAAAGTCCAACCCCATCCGTTACATTTTTATGGATGAAAATCTATTATTTGTTTCTTTTGGACACAATTACTTATTATGATAAATATATCTATTTTTCTATCTTTTAAGAAGAATTATCCCAACGACTAAAGGTATGTGTCTGAAAAAATGATAATGAGCTCACCCAAATATACTGAAAAGATTAATACAATGTCTATCGATTCTGAACATCAGTCTACTGCGAGATCAGTGAACATGTCCTGTGAGAATACTCTTGAAGGTTATACGAACCCCGGATAAACTGGTACTATCACAAGCACAATGTATCGAATACCGTACTTCCCTGATTAACGCATTATGGGCTTAACGTCCTGCCACAGAATCAATTATGCACATTCCCAGCAAGATCGTCCATTGGAAGGGGTTTTCTGACTATCAGGGTCCAATTGTCATAGGTTGCACGGTATATGAATGTATGTAAACAGTATAGTATGGTGGAAGTAAACTGCGGAATTCCAGAACACTGACAAAGGGACTCTTCACTACATGCATACAGTTCAGCGCTTCGAAAAGTTCTTTCATGGCAATATGTGGTACCAATATACAGTGCACAGAACTAATGTGAGAGGGTGTCTTATTCTGAAATGTTAATGATATGCAATCCCAAGCCTTCTGGGATATACCAATACTTCCCGTCATATCAATATCAGATAGTGCTGATATGTTTCTTTGGAAACTTCTGGGCAGAACAGGGCCTAGATTTTCGAAGCTCGCTTAGCGCTAAGATAGTCGTAAGTGCCATACATTAACATTAACTTACGACTCTCTTAGCGCTAAGAGATCTTCGAAAATCAAGGCCCAGATGACTACAGACATACTCACTTCGACGTTTCTGTAAACCTGTGAAAAAGGAAAGTAACTCGTACTTTGTGACCTCATTATAGAGTGTCAGATAAGCCACTCAGTCAGTAATGTACTCAGTCAGTAATGTATCTGAAAACAGGATTTGGTCTCCTGACTTTTCTGAGTTTAATAAGAGCAAAACATTTTCACAAGGGGACTTAGTCAACTATTTGTCAAGTAACAAGATCGATTTCGCTGTGTTACGACAGAGATCAAGGATATCTCATCCCATCTGCATACAATGAACTGATAAAAAACAACAGAACAGAGCACTTCCACACATCGCTGCTAATTAACCTTATCAGCCATGTAGCTTTCGTTCTACTTTGTGGACAACTGGCTTCCTACTTTTGTCACTGCATTGTTACCACTATTATTTTCAAAGGGCAGATAATGCAAAGGCCAGGGCGCTTGAAAAGGGCAGGGCGTTGCGCCCTGCCAAATATGCCTCGGGGAAACACTAGACTATCCATTGTTGTTGGTAATTTCTTTGATGCACACCTACAAGTTGTTATTATTTAATACCTGTTAATATATACAAGTCTGTTCTGTGCTGAAGTGCTTCCCTCGTGCTTGATAACGGTATAAGAATCTATATGTGTCATCCATAAAGTATGTTACTTTCTTATTGCTGACCAATGTCTAAAATGCCAATAAATGAGATAATACTAGACAGAGTCCTACTTACTGACATGGCGTTGCGTTCCTTCGGTGTCCACAATTAATCCAAATGAAAGGAATAGACAGGCAAGTCTGAACAACATGTTCGATGACAGTCGTGTTGGCAGCTGAAACCAAACATCGCAACGACATAAAACACGTAGGTCATGTCATACTATCAGACAATACAGGTGACACACAGACACTACCTGCAATACAACACTGAACTGCAAACACACATTACTTCGCTGACCTGCAAACACACAATACTTCACTTACCTGAAAACACACAATACGGCACTGACCTGCAAACACACAATACTGCACTGACCTGCAAACACACAATACTTCGCTGACCTGCAAACACACAATACTTCGCTGACCTGCAAACACACAATACAACACTGAACTGCAAACACACAATACAACACTGAACTGCAAACACACAATACTTCACTGACCTGCAAACACGCAATACTTCACTGACCTGCAAACACACAATACTGCACTGACCTGCAAACACACAATACGGCACTGACCTGCAAACACACAATACCTCACTGACCTGCAAACACACAATACTTCACTGACACACAAACACACAATACGGCACTGATCACTACATTACCTACACACCCGGCAGCACTGTAAGGATTGTAAACCGTTCTTCTGTCTCGTCAGGCGATAACGTGTCACATGTTGGTTCTCATCATAATAGGTACAGCTTGTCTTCAATCGATATACTTCAACTGAATGTACGTGGTATTTCATCTGTGTTTGTTGACAACAACAATAGTGTATTCTGTCTGTATGCAGCTTTAAGGCAACGTGCAACAGCATTCCACTTTATGCTGCGTCAAGTCATTATTAAATTATGTAAATTTTACACTTGCAGATGAGAAAATATGAATTTATGAAGACGATGACACTGGCACTGGCAGACTGCTCAGGTTCTTCATCAACTTAGGGGCCCTGTCTCGTGTACATGCCGCCCAGACAGCGAATGGGAGTCGCTGCTGAGATGAACTCTCAAAGAACGTTTCGGAGGTGATGTCAGCAGGCTCGGGAAAGTCTGAGACTGTATTCAAACGTATTACGCAAAACTTAATTTTCGTTCACGCCCTCACCACATTGTGTGTCGTGCCGTGGATGAACCTGTCAGTCAAAACCACAAGCATGCCGAATACTGGAATATATGGGACGAGGTATCAAGTAATGTGACTGGCGTTGGCAGATAATGTGTTAAGCTGGACATGCACACCCTCTGGACACTGCCATTATATTTTTGGCACAGTCTATACAGTTGATGTGGCCTTAACATTGTCGCGAGCGTTCCGCTCTAAGCGTTCAGGATTTTCTCATGCCTACATTTTCGTCCTATCCTTAGTTTGTCGTTAATATGTACATTCTGCAGCTTAGTAAACTGTGATGGTATTGTACGACGTGACAGATTCAAGTTACAACATGATGTTACTGTACGATGTGAGTATCTTATGTGACAGTATGATGTTGTGTGATGTTAGAATGTGATGTTACTGTGTGATCTTACGATGAAAGTCAGCTTGAGTCTTTGGATATTAAATCTAGTTTCCAGATGCGGTGTTTAAGGATGAAGGCCAGGGTGCCGTTGTACAAAACAACCTTAGCGCTAAGACTATCGTAAATCTATATTACAGTATGAGCGTTACGGTCACCTTAGCACTAAGATCGCTTTGTACAACGGCACCCAGGATGACAACGATGCTCCGCAAGGTATAGCTTCGGTGTTGTACAGGGAGACAGTTTAGTGTACATGTGTGTCCTCCATGACTGCCCCTAACGCACACAGATGTGATGCTCATTAGGGGTCAGGGGTTCCTATTTGTCGGCGACACGGAGACAGTGCAGGTCGTGTCCGCCGGAGGTTACACAACACCAAATGTTTTCCCATAGACTTCTATAGTAACCTTATAATTTTTTTAAAAATAGACAAGCTATCAACAGCCATTCCATGTACACATGGGTACACTCTGGCCTTTAAACTACAATAAAACACAATATCAGGCCAACTTGTCCGGCTCGTTTTGCGAGGACAGGAAGCGGAACACATCAACCCCAGTTCCGCACCAAATGTCACCTACTGGAAAATATCTGTACACACAATAAGCATAAGTCATGGTGATGAAAATGACAGCACTGAATACTTAAAATTGTGGTCAGTTTTAATTGCTGGTTGGATATGCTTTTAAAAAACATAAACTACTTACACTATTTCATCCAATCACAGCTGTCACATGTCTCTATCTCTTCATTTGTTTACATACGCTTCTCGCTCAGTGAGCAAGCGATTCTCATTAAGTGTAGCATAACCCGGAGACGTATCAACAGCACGATGACAGAGTTGGCTCCCTTGTCCAGACGGGTTTTCCAACTCCCCCGAGGGGTCATCCTCAGCGTCGACTGGTTGAGGTGACGACTACCTTACTCATGTTACTACCACGACGATGATTTCAGTCAATAGTTGGTAATTCTCTGGTGACCATGATTATAAAGATTTGTGAGGGGATGGTTCTTAATCATACGAAAGCGAGCGATGACTAATTATTTAGAACTAAGAAAACCGCACACAGAGTAAATAGAAGAACACTGCATGGTTATAAAAGGCATTATTTTGACAATAATTAAACAGTTAACCTGTCTGAGGAAACAGGTGTTTTCTATTACTATTCATATTGCAGCAGAATGAGGAACAAGGGTAACACAATTCGGAAGGCATGGATATGCAGACATTCGAACAAGGTAGGCCGTTGCCCTAGGCAGCATTCAATCTATACCACTAACCAACAATGAAATAGCTTTTAGAATGTTTTGTACAGTCAGTATTTCAGACAGACAGACAGACAAGTTTATTCAGTAAAAGGCCACAGGCCCATCATACAGTCATTTGCATATGATATTAATAGTTTAGTAGACTATAGTGCACATGCTGTGTCAGAGGAACATTTCTAATGCGCTGAAGTACATGATACAGAAAAACACTAACATCTCTTATGATACAGTCATTATGTGTTTTCATAATGTTAATAAAATTGGCATTTGGATCAAAATCAGTCAAATATTTAATACAGTCAGTATTTCAAATATACATCTTGTTGCCGTGTCATGCCTACAGCGATGACGGTAAATAAGCAGATATCACTTTGTCGAAAACAACGGGTATGACATTGACAAACCTGGACACACCATAGAGAGATTCAAACCTACGATGTTAGGGTTCTGGCACGAGTAAGGGGAACAACTCTGCAGAGTAAAGTCTCACAATATCCATTGATAACAAAAGCCTGCTCGTTAGAGGCCTATCTTGAGCTGCATGGTCGAGCACGTGGCGATGTTGTAGGAGTAGATGCTACACTGGTGGTCGTTGTACGTCATCCTGTCACACTGGTACAACTCCATACACCGCGCAGCGCACTCTATCGGGGAGGCTGCGTGGACGACGGCAAGCAACAACGTGTTGGTGTAGTCAAGACTGGGGACAAGGTCGATGTAGGTTGATATACCTAATGGATTAGAACAGAACACACCAGCTGAATATTAGCCCTACCTATATATTTTTCTTCTAAAATAGCAGTGTTCACTCTGGGATAAAAACAACACTATTCTTAAATACACAACGTTATATATTTCTGAATAATACATATTTACCAGAACATTTAGCCATGCTTGGAGCCACAGAATGACGAAACGAAAGACGTTGAATGTCAACAAATCGAAACTTAGTGATGATGTTTAGCGATAACAGAATGGACATTTCCCGCAAAGAACACTTTTCCATTTTGTCAACTGTGACTAATACTTACTATCCCCCGAACGGGCTGGTTTTCTCTTGAAAGTATGAGTAATATCTCTGTGCGTGCGTGCGCGTGTGCGTGTGTGTGTGTTTCGACGCATGCATTTTTCTAGCCCATTGAAAGGCAAATCACGGATAAAATCACCAAGTACCTTTTCCTTGTATCTGCAGCGCTCAGACAGGTAACTTCCACATATCTGTATGTTGGGACAATGGTCACTATACTGAAGACATTAGCTTGAATTATAACACGTGGGACTAGTTCGTTAGTTAGTATTCGCAACATTTAGAGGTGGTGGTGGAATTGGGTTTAACGTCGTGCTTGAGAATATTTCGCTCATATGACGACGTGCATGCGTGTGTATGTGTATGTGCGGCTGCTTGTACTAGCCCAGACTTAAGCTGGTTTTAAAGTGCTAGCCCACTGTGATACCATGCCGCAGTGAAGCATGAATACCCCACTCAGACACATTATACTGACTCCGAGCCGACCAGTCCTTGTTGTACCCATTAATGCCGAGCGCCAGGCAGGGACCAACAAGTACCATATTTTAACGTCTTTTGGTATGACGCGGTCGGGGATCGAACCCGCGACCTTCCGCACTCCTTGAAGACGCTCTAACCACTACACCACGGAGGCGGTCCCGCAACATTTAGAGATTCTTATCGGCGAAGATAATAGGCATAATACCAGTTAGTCACTTCCTAATAGGTCGCAATCATCCGTCTATGTGTGAAATAGTAATTTACGTTATATTATAAACAGACACGATGTCGATGGAGGGGCTTTGATAATGTAGTTGGTTATGACCGGCCGTGTGATAATCAGGAGTAGGGGAGATTGAGGGGTGTGTGCGTGAATGGTGGGTTTTACGATACTTGCATTACCATCCAGACTTTATATCAGGGCACTAACATCTATGCCAATACATCATATCGTCGTTAGTTCTAATTGTGACGTCATACCATTCTTTTGAACTCAGAGACGTCATATAATTCGCTTAAACATTATAAGTTGTTCACTGGTCTCGAGGGGGACATGGGCTGATGTGTCCCTCGATGTTTATAACATTAAGAAACAACGAGGGTACATCAACCAAACACCTCAATGGTAATTTTTAACTGTTTGAAGCACGGGTATCGGATCATAGTATGGAGACGACAAGACGACAAGAAAAACAACTTTAGAGTTATCTCCCTTCCATCGAATTGCATTCGCAAAACATCGGTAATTTCCGTACATCATACGTGATTCAATGTTATTCGAGATAAAGAATTACTACTACGAAGTACCAAATGAGTACTTGTAAGCGGGTTGCATTGAAAATAATAGAAGAGCGCTCAGCCAATCAGAAAACGACATTTATGTGTGAGGCAAGATAATGATGGAATGTCTGTGTTCAAGACGCTTGCTAATACGTACATCTTTCGCAAACAGGAAAGTGGTCATCCGTACACTTCGTCGTTCTCCAGGTATAGACATCAGTAGGTAACAATGATAGCCGAACACAGACCTCACCGCCATACATTTGATCTGGTTCATAAGAAACTCCAGTCCAATCGGTGTACTCCGCGACTTCGCCGTTCGGCCATTTGAACTGGCCACTGCTGACGTCGAACTCAAGAGCTATCCACGCATCCGTATTGTTGCTGGAAACGACGTCGCTGCAGGGTAGAACATGTACAGTGAGTTTTTGTGGGCGCGTATCTGTCTCATAGTCTGAAGCAATATCCCCTATCTATATGAATGAACCCTCTATATGTAAATCTCAAAAGGTGTACAGTATCGAATTAACGACTTCCGTAACAATATACTT